TCAAATATTTTACGTTTAGATCCATTTGCATTTTATCATTTAGGTAATGATCAAACATTTTTATTATTATTAAATAATAGTTTAGATTTTAAATTAAATGATGATAAACATTTTTGTACATTTGCTATTTTATCATCTATAACACTTATTAAATTTTCTTATAATTTAAATGAATGTACATGTACACATCGATATATTTATCGTCATATTGATAAATCACAAATTTATTTAACACCAAAATGTTATCAAAATTCACCAATGTCTTTATTAGCACAAGAAGAAAATAAATGTCAATTTGAACAACGTTTATTAAAATGTCAAATACTTCCAGATAATATATTAATTTATGGTAAATATTATAATTCAACATATTTTTATTCAAAACAAAAACATTTATTATATATACATAATATTTTATTAAAATATAAAACATATTTTATTATTGGTACAATTATAACATTAATATTATTAATTATATTAATAATTTTTATATTATTATTACGAAAACATCGTCATTCATATGTACATTTAAAACGTTTATTACGAAAACGTGATTCAACAACAATTGATAATCGAAGACAAACAATTGATGATGAAGATAATTTAAATGATGATATACCATCAATAAATATTTTACATCAAAGAATAAATGAAATAAATATTGGACATCATGAAATGCAACCAACATTTTCATCATTAAAAGTATAGGATTGTGAATTATTATTTTAATAAAATTATTAGTTTAAAAAAAATATATATTTAATACTATTTTTATATTTTAATTTTTTGGTTTTTATAGTCCATTATTGTATAATATTTGAAATGAAAAAACAAAAAAATGATTCTTGAATTTTACAAGTATCTTAAACACCAAATAGTATCGGACATTTTACTTCAAAAGTTTTTAAAACAATTTTTAACATTTATATTTGTTTGAAAAAATGAGTTCAACTATTTGTATTAAGGTTTCCCTTTCACGTCAGAAATGTTGACAAATTTCCATAAAAAAAAGTCGAACTTGACAGCTTGTCCAGTTAATGTTCCCCTTTTTTCGCTCATTTTCAAAAAATTATTGTAATAAAACTATAAACTAATTTAATATTAAACATTTCTCTATAAAATGAAAAGTATCTCAGCTCTGAACGTTGATTTGTTATGAAAATACAGCTGTTGTACAAACAGCCCCAAAAACCGATGTTGAGGATATCTAAAAAGCGTACCGTCACGGCTCCACGCTTTTTCTGGTTTTCTTTTTGATTAATACAGATTAATTAGAATACTTTCGAACTTGACAAGCTATCACATCTTGTAGAGCAAACAATTTTCTACCAACTGGTATACTTGTTCAATTTTTGGCAGCTCGTCTACACTCTTTTAGATACGCTTTTTAGATAGCCTCAACATCGGTTTTTGGGGCTGAGCGAAAAAAGCGAGACCGTTTGCTGGACAAGCCGTTGAGCTGACAATGGACATTCAGGGCTTTTCTTGTAAATTCTATAACTTTGCAAAGAAAGGTCATGTAGAGCTGGGAGATGTCTCATTTTAATCAGAAATTTGCGGGCTACACTCATAACTCATTAAGAAAAGGTTTCAGTTATCTTTTTAGGTTTCTGAAAACTGATTTTTAGAAAACCGGGTCTTCAGGAGCCGTCAGCCGGAATTGTTTCAGGCTTTTTACCAGCTCGATGTGCCCTATAAACCCAGGTATGAATGAAGAAAACCCGGGTTGGACACCTGG